ATTCGGACAGTGAGGGAGAAGGTGAGCTGAGTGAGGGTGAGAGGGAGTGTGAGGGTGTGCGCGTGAGTCGAGATTGTGTGCGTCCGTCTCGTAATAACAAGTCTTCAGTATACAATCATTTGGTTTCTAGTACTGACTGTTGTCGTACTTATTCTGATTCCTGTTTTTCTGTTTTGTGCCGTGCTCGTCATGGTTATCTTTTGCAGTTACAAGTTTTGGAAGCTGTTTGTCAGCGCATTCATAAGCCGAATTTGTGTGTCCAGAAAGATAGTGTTATTACCCTAAAATTGTTCAAATAATGTTCTGTTGTGTAGTGTGGCAACGTTGTTGCCACTTGTGCCTAAATGTGTTTTGTCACCTTCTTGTTTATTATTGTTATTATTATCATTCGTTCTCACTTTTTTGTTTTTTGTTGCTGATACACACTTGTCACGCTTAGTTCTTACTTGTATACCCTTGTTTTCTGCACACTTTTGTGAGAAATCGCACCTCGATATTCTAGTGCTGTCATTGTATCGTGTCACCCTACCTTGATTGCTATATTATTTCCTTTGTTCTCATTTTGTTCTTTAGTACAACGGTGATTCCTGAAGAGTGTTGTACGAAAACTTGTTCGAATCATCTTTTTTTTTTTTCCATTGCCCTTTTTCTTCTTACATGTATTTTTCCTTACCCTTTAGGTTGTTTCTTGCATCGTCTCCATCGCTTACATTGTTAATAAAGTAGTCCACATGTCGCTTCAGCTCGTCCTACTTATTGCCATATTAAAATTATTATTATTATTATTATTATTATGCGAGGGTCCCTGGTTCGAGTCCTGGTGGTGACAGTCAATTTTTCTTCAGACTTTTCCCGTTTGTCTCTTTCCCTCAAACTAGTGAAGATGTTATGACTTGGGGCTCCCCGCGTACTAGAGTGTACGTGAAGTGTGTGGGTACAGTGAGGGCTGCGTCCCACCCGCCTGTGTGGATTCACAGGAAGTGTGAGTTACGAAGTCTGAAGAAAGTGTTGAACAGTCTCTGCTGGGATGACGACTACACCATAGCTCAGTGGTTAGAGCATCGCTAGCTACAAGCGAGGGTCCCTGGTTCGAGTCCTGGTGGTGACAGTCATTTTTTCTTCAGACTTTTCCCGTTTGTCTCTTTCCCTCAAACCAGTCAATATTATTATTATTATTATTATTATTATTTGTAAGAAAGGGTTTGCTCCCCACACCGGAGCTCGCGCTATTCCGCCGACTTTACTTGACACTTGACTGACTCACGACTGCCATCCAGAGCACACGAGAAGTCCATCGAACCTTCGACTCGGCAAACCTGCAAGAAAGCACCACTCCCTGCTCAATACACAGTGTTTCGGGGAATTCACCCCTCATCAGTTGAGCTTGAGTAGGCTGAGGAAGATTGTGCCTGAAGAGCACCACTTATATAGTGCTCTCCAGGCACAAACATCACCAGGGATACAAACTTACAGAGACGTCTCACCGTCCAGGAGCGACACTGACTCACGCTGCTATCTGGTGTTCGCGAGGTGTTTGTCGCGCTGGAAACGGAGCGTCTCTGTAAGTTTGTATCCCTGGTGATGTTTGTGCCTGGAGAGCACTATATAAGTGGTGCTCTTCAGGCACAATCTTCCTCAGCCTACTCAAGCTCAACTGATGAGGGGTGAATTCCCCGAAACACTGTGTATTGAGCAGGGAGTGGTGCTTTCTTGCAGGTTTACCGAGTCGAAGGTTCGATGGACTTCTCGTGTGCTCTGGATGGCAGTCGTGAGTCAGTCAAGTGTCAAGTAAAGTCGGCGGAATAGCGCGAGCTCCGGTGTGGGGAGCAAACCCTTTCTTACAAATCATCACCGAAGTCGCAACCACTAATTCGTATTATTATTATTGTTATTTATTCACAATCACGTGGCACTAGCCAATGAAATGGTGATGTGGGCGATAGCCAGCCATGGCGGTAATAGAGCTAGAGGGGAGAAAGAAAAAGAATGAAAGGGGAACTGAAAAGTAAGGGAAGCTAGGGCAGGGCTGGATATCAACTAGTATGTTGTATTCTGCAGTAGCTGTGTGAATGTATTGTAACATTGGCAGGATTTTAGATGTTGTGGGAGGAGAGACCAATGGCGGTAAGCAAGGAAGAGAGGAGATGTTTGCATAGAGGCAGACCGCGCAATAGGGAAGCGGAGAGAGTTTCTGGTGCGCATGTCTTGAGATTGAGCAAACCAGCTTAGGCAGGAGAGAGCATGAAGAGGAGCAATGCCCAGCTTAATTTTATGAATTGTCTGGCATGCCAAAGAACGCACGCGGACCGAGAGCGGCACAGCAGAAGCAAGGCGGTATAAGTCTGCGCTTGGAGCCAGGCGAGGAAGCCGAAATAATATTTTCAAAAAGACGCCTATGCATAACTTCGAGTCGAGCAATCAGTGTTTTAGAAATGCCAGCCCAAATTATGCAGCAGTAATCAAAAATAGGCAGAATGTAAGATGTGTAGATAACATGGCGACAGTCGGTGTGGAGGTGGGTGATGTGTGATGAGAGAAATCCCATTACTGAGCTAACACGGCTGCCTAAATTTTCGATCTGGGATTTCCAGGTTAAGTGTTGGTCAATAATGACGCCAAGATGCTTGTGTTTTTCAACGATGCAGAGCGGAGTTGTGGTGCCTGGAAAGGTGAAGGGACTGGTTTCTTATGAAGATAGGTCACAGGAACAACTGGGGGGGGGGGTACACATTACAGCAGTTTTCGAAGAGTTGGGCTGCAATTTCCATTTTTCCATCCAATGAATAACGCCATCTATGTTGGACTGTAACTTGGCACTAGCCTCGGGGAGAGTGGGTGCTGTCACAAGTAGTGCTGTATCATCAGCATATAGTGATGTGTGATCCATTTCTGCCAGATCGTTTACATACATAAGAACTAGATCCCCGATCTTTGCTGGCTATGTGTTTTGGGCAACATTACCAGCGCAGGCCAAGACCAGCACGTCGATGGATAATTTTGTTGCTAAAATCTCTGCTCAATTATAGGTTTCATGTGTATCCTGCTGGTTTGTCTCCTCCTTTGCCTTCTTTGCCTTTTATTTGTATTCTTTTATCTGTTTTACTGCTGTGGTTGGCTTTCACCCTTGCCTCAGTTTTACTGGCCGTCATCATGATGTGCCATGAGATAATGATATAAATACAAAAAATACAATAAACAAATAATCTACGTGGAGATAAAAGTTTAATAATAGCTATGAAAAGTATGAATGCCGCAGACATCACCACGCAACATGACAATTTGTTCAAGGTTTGGTTTTGTGTGTTTCCAAAATCGATTTTCAAGCTCCAATCATCAGTGGAAATACGGAACTAAAGTGATCAAGGGAAAAACAAAGGTTAAAAATCCAAAGAAGTGTGACACATGACGGGTAACTTGTGGTGAGTATTACAAAAAGTGAGAACTAAGATAAAGTGTAAGTGTGACAAACGGGCATGAACAGTGCAGAAACAACTCATGAACACGGGGTGCAAACTCACGAAAATAACATAAGTGCTAAAACATGTTCTTTTTGCTTACACAAATCGGGCTTATGCATACGAATACAAACAGCTTCAAGGACCTTCAACTGCTGGACATACCGGGCACGACACAGTACAGAGAAGTGGGAATCATCATACACACTCAAACAATCGGGACGAGATAACAAATGCAAGTACACAGCTGACTTCTTACGAATGTCACCCTCATCAGCTCCATCACCTTCCCTGCCACCTGACTCCTCCTCGTCCGTTTTATCACCATCACCACCAGCCGTCTCATCGTCATCTGCCTCGTCGTCATCCGCCGCCTCGTCATCACCCGCCTCGTCGTCATCTGTATCCTCGCCGTCATCCGCCTCGTCGTCATCTTTATCCTCGTCATCCGCCGCATCATCACCCAACTCATATTCACCACCAGTCAGTCGTCTGATACCATCCATGTTCTCCTTCCTACGTCTGTCTCGTGCCACTGTCCTTAGCTCATCTACGTCCCGAGATTGTGTTCCGTTTTAAGCCCGATTTGTGTAAGCAAAAAGAACATGTTTTAGCACTTACGTTATTTTCGTGAGTTTGCACCCCGTGTTCTTGAGTTGTTTCTGCACTGTTCATGCCCGTTTGTCACACTTACACTTTATCTTAGTTCTCACTTTTTGTAATACTTACCACAAGTTACCCGTCATGTGTCACACTTCTTTGGATTTTTAACCTTTGTTTTTCCCTTGATCACTTTAGTTCCGTATTTCCACTGATGATCGGAGCTTGAAAATCGATTTTGGAAACACACAAAACCAAACCTTGAACAAATTGTCATGTTGCGTGGTGATGTCTGCGGCATTCATACTTTTCATAGCTATTATACAATAAACTGTTTTTATTGGATAGGATATGATTATGTTGAATAAACGAGGTTTGTGTCAATTGGAGATTGACTTGGTGTTTTTACGAGTTGATTCTAAGTTCACATAACCAGCTCGAAAAGAATAAGGAAAGACAACGGTACGGAGACTAGGACAGACGTGACAACTAATGAGCAGGCGCTGCACCGAGACGCAGCAGTGATGGTGGGCATCCCTTATACTCTGCATCCCTTATACCAAGAGTAGATAAACAAGAGTGTGCAACTCGCGGATGGGTTGGCCCAGGGCGGAATTTTTTGTTGACGTAATCTTTTCGACGACGCACGCGCTGCGAGCCTTTTGGAGAGGTTTCCCTCGTGCACTTGGCGGGGCTTTAGACTACAAGGTCGGTGCCCAGCACGTGCTCTCACACTGCTCTGCGGCAAAGTCCGCGTTTCCCTGAAAAAAGGTGACGTCAACAAAATATTCCGCCGTGAGCGGGGGTACCTGCAGATTGTGCAGGAGAGATCCGGAGTTGCACACTCTTGTTTATCTACTCTTGCTTATACTCTTTATAGATCTTCATAACTATAGCATTCCGTACACAGAGGGTTAAGTTACTGTCTCCACGTTGATTGCTTACCCAGCGGTTTGGTCTTGCAGTAGAATGACCCATACGTGTTCACACAGTCCTCGTACCGCTCACAGACATACGGTGTCAGGCATTCATCCTCGTCCCTGCACCATGTGCCTACAGGGAAAAGCGAACACAAATATTTGAAAGGTTAGCCGTTCTTGGAACAGGAAATAGATAAATTAGGAGACAATAATAACAAGGTCATGTACATACAACTATCCCTTCACTGTGCATAGTTCGAAACTCCCCCCCTCCCCCCCCCTCCCCCACACACACAAGTGTTGCCTCTTTGCTTTGTCATACCACAACCTGAACCATTCACTGCGGTGAACCCCTCGATAGGCAATTTGCTTTTGGGTCATCCTAATAAAGTTATTATTTACATTAATATTATCATACGCACGAGTACAGGTAGGAGTGCTTCAGGCGTTGCAAGCCGCCATGCTTTAAAAGGCAGTTTTCCTTAGCCCTTCAGGACTTTTAATAACACATGAGTGCAGAAGCTTTGGAAGACAGGCAATCTAACAACACATTGCTCAGAAATTCAGTTATAAATTACAATCCATTCATCGGAAACAGTCCCGCTGGCTTTTGAAAGTCCGAATTTGGCCGAATTGAGGATAAAAAAACCACTTTAAATCTCAAAAATCTGGGTTTGGGGTCAGCTTCTCCATACATTTTGCCTAGGCACACCTGTCCTAATTTTGTAAAACGTGGCTGAATTTCTATTCCCCTGTTCTTTGACTTTTCTTGACTCAAGTGTGGCACGGGTGACGCAATGCAGGATGTAACTGTTGTTTTCACGGTATCTACAACGATGTGCGGGAGACACCAACAAGTTAGGGAGCCAGTTTCCAATGAATGGACTGTAGTGCCTTCATGACTCACCGGCTTGTTTGAATCCAGTTCGACACATCCATGTGGTTGTTGTGGCTGTGAGCTCCACCACAGCTCCGGGCTGGAAGTTGTAGAAAAAATCCTTGGAGAGAAAGGACGCTTCGCACGGGAAAGGCGTACCGTCTTCTTTGGTGAGCACCTCCGGACATTGGCATGTTCGTAGCGTGGTGACGTTGTCGTCGCACGTTGGAAACTGCTCACACACAGCGCCGCGTTCCCGTAGCGCCGTCATGCACACGTTTCGAGGCACGCAGTCCGTGCCGTTGAACGCAGTTCCAAGTGGACAGGCGCAGAAGCCAGTCACCAATGCATTGGCTAGGCACTGAACGTTTGCGTTGTGACACCCGCCCCATGCTTTAAACAGAAGATGAGGATGTTGATTGAGAAAGGGAGAAGAGCATGTGAGGCCTATTTACACACATGCCTACCCACACTCACACATACATGTACATATACTCACACAAACACACACACACACACACACACACACACACCCCATTGCCCATTGCCCATTTGACGTCCATCGCCACACACGCACACACACACACATACACACATGCACGCACACACGCACACACACACACATACACACACACATACACACACACAAACACACATACATACACACAAACACACATACACACACATCTACACACACACATACACACATACACACACATACACACATACACACATACGCACACTTGTACTTGTACTTGTTGCACACTGCCAAAACTGGTCACGTGGGTCTCCCCGGGAGAGGGGAGAGAGACTCAAAAGGAATCTTGGAAAGATGACTCAATTGGCTATTGAACCGCCCAACGGCCGACACCCCCTGAAATCCCCAAAACTCTGGGTGGACTTGAACATGATCCCACTTATGGGCTCACCACACCTCAGTAAGTGGGTGAGGACAAGGTGCAGAAAAAGGATTGACGGCATCAGGGTATCCGTCCTGGGATCCAACTGCAGTTACCCCTGCCCCCAGTGAAGGTAATACGTGCTACTAGTGTGGGTGACTAAATCAGAGTGGATCTGATATTAGCTTCACTAGCACCATTGATTACACAAGAGTTAATCTAGCCAGAAGCAGTCCATGGTTAACAGGTATGTATACTTCAAATAGAAAGTATATGAACCCTGGAACCAACAAAGGTGGCAGGTACAACATTACACCTTCAAGTAGCCGAGACTGTTGGCAACAGACCCAATACAATCAGGCATAAGTGTACCCACCAACCGAACTAGCTGGCACACATACACACACATACACACACATACACACACACGCACACACACACACATACACACACACACACACATACACACACTCACACATACACACACACACGTACACACATACACACAAACACATACACACACATACACACACACATACGTACACCGTAATAGGTGAATACAAGGAGACATGCACAGAGCAGGTAGCCGGGCAAGTAGACAGGCAGATTTACACCAAAGGAGTCAAGCCAGCGAATGTGATAAACGAGTATAGAAGTAGACTTTTGGAAATCACATTTACTTGTGTCCAAGTCTGCATAGTCACTTTTTACGCTCCTATCAAATATTGTGTAATGCACCCCGAAGCAAGGCAGAACGAACCTTCTTACAATTTGCAATTTTACGATTTCCAGGGCATCCCGTGCTTCGAGCGTGTACGGAAGAGAGGAAGAAGAAGGAATGGCCGAGTAGAGGACAAGGTCAGCTCCTTCGGGACCTTCCATTCACTTTTCGAACGGATATTTTAAAGGTGTCAAGTCTGCATTGCCCCTGCCTATACGAGTATTCTGTGGTGTCAAGTGTAATGGGTAGCCGAGTGGTAGGCGCGGTGAAATCAACAAGAATTACTTTTATTCTACTTTCAGGTACACACCTGAGATATAATGATTAGTGAAAGAAGAAGCGGCAAAATAAATAAGATTCAAGATCTCTCCGGTGCTCACCTAGAGGTTGACTACTTCTTCGAGTTATCTTTCGTTGCTATCTAATCTAATCTTCTCTTCATCAAAACAGAAATGCTCAGCCGCTTTTATGCAGCAGACGCCGTACGCTTACATACGGAGATACACTAAATATACATCAGGCAAAGCTCCGTATTAGTTCCGTACTGCTTCCGTATTGGTCGGGCAGGGATACTACACCCTCCCTTCCTACAGATAATCACGCCCTCGTGATTTTCAAAAAATTACTGAAGAGTTACGAAAACAGCGTCAACCGGAAGATGGCAAATTATATCGGAAATGATAACGTTTAGAGTAGACAGAATAAATGAACTGATAACAAATCATAAAGTAGAAGCACACCAGGTTCACACGATCTCACGGGGTCAAAAGGGGAAAGAACTGTCCTCCAAATAGGACCTGAAAATCCACAGCACTCTTGCTGCACAACGCTGGCACAACCCGCCAGGAACATCGCAGGTCAAAAACCGAACTGAATACACTATACCTATAAGGGGCGTTGTCACACACATTGTCCCACGTTAGCTGGGTAAGCCGTGGCTCACCATGATCAGACGCCTACCAAACTAAACTGGATTCACACACTCGCATAAAGGAAGACTGAAGAGAACAGGGAGACTGAAGGAAGACAGGAAAGAAAATGCCATACCTGGAATCAGCGTTAGTAACCACGGCGGCGGCTGGAGCTATGGCGGAGGGCAAGCCAGGTTTTATCTTCATCTTGGTTGAGCCGGTCACTCAGAGCGGCTAGCTCGGCGTCAGACAAATAACCTCCTTCCTCGTCTTGAATCATGGTCTTCACATTGTCGATAGCATCGCTTTGCGCGACGTAAAGAGTGATGGTCTAGCCAGGAAGAGTGTTGACGAAAATCTGCATCCCACCACGGAGACGAAGTACCAAGTGAATAGTGGACTCCTGCTGAACGTTGTAGTCACTCAGGGTTCGGCCGTCTGCCAACTGCGTGCCGGCGAAAATCAAACGCTGCTGGTCTTGGGGAATACCCTCCTTGTCTTGGTCAGCAGCCTGCATGTCGTCGTCCTCATCAGCTTCGCCATCACCACCGGTAGTATACATGTAGGTAGCGGGTCGCTTGGAATCGCCATCGGAGTCTCCAGTGGATGCCATGCGGAGGGAAGGGTGATCCACGCTAGCACCCTGACTGTGCTGCAAGCTAATAAGCAGGGCCAAGCCCAGGAAGGCAAGAAACATGATTCTCATCTTGATTCGTCGCACGCGCAGGGAGCTGCAGCGGGTTGAGCCATGGGGGTCTGGGGTCGAATCACGTTGTTTTATTTAAAACTACACCGCAGCCACCAATGTAATGGGTAGCCGAGTGGTAGGCGCGGTGAAATCAACAAGAATTACTTTTATTCTACTTTCAGGTACACACCTGAGATATAATGATTAGTGAAAGAAGAAGCGGCAAAATAAATAAGATTCAAGATCTCTCCGTTGCTCACCTAGAGGTTGACTACTTCTTCGAGTTATCTTTCGTTGCTATCTAATCTAATCTTCTCTTCATCAAAACAGAAATGCTCAGCCGCTTTTATGCAGCAGACGCCGTACGCTTACATACGGAGATACACTAAATATACATCAGGCAAAGCTCCGTATTAGTTCCGTACTGCTTCCGTATTGGTCGGGCAGGGATACTACACAAGTTGCTCTGCGGAAAATGTCGAAACGAAACTTTTTACAAAAGAAAAATGGACCGAGGAACTACAAGTTACGCTATAAAGTCCACTAACACCACGAGTTACTAAAAAATCAGCTCATGCGATACCATTGCACGACACATTTTTTCATTGTATAAATTAATCCTTGGCTCTTCATCCGAAACTTTTTACGAGAAATGTTTTCAGCAGAATGGCTCACGGAGCTCGAACCGGTGGTTATAGACCACACTCTCGGGCAGCCCTGAAAGTCAACAACACCAAGACAGAGTGGACAGAGCTGGGTCGATCTGTAGACAGGGTTGACGAGCGATGGAGAACATCCGGACAGCTGGGCTCATTTTTGGGCGACATTGCGGACGTGACACGGCGCAGACAATTGGCTGCCTTCCGATTCTTGTGGTTTCTTTGGAAGCACGGAGGACTGATCCGAGAGCATCTGCGTATGAGGTTCTGCTTCACCTTTATCCTGCCGCTACTTCTATGTGATTCCGATTTCGTGTACCTGGGGCCTGACGATTGCTAGCAAACGCTCCCTGGACGCATTTATTTCCATAGAAAGAAGCTCAGGCCGCTGCTTGGTTGACGCTGCCGCGGGAATGCGTATAAAAATACTACGCGAACAGGCAACGATGTCCCCTCACCAGACAACGGCTGGCTGCTTACATTGTAGCTCCAAGCCTCCCTTTAAACACACACTAAAGTCTTACTTGTTTCGACATATGCAACAGCTTGGGACTCCAAACCTCGGTCACCACTGAATCCGACAGACGATCTCAGGACATTGGCTAGCGAACACATACGACTATCCAAGCTTAGCGTATTGGCGCTAGCGGAGCTGCAGGAGTGAAGTAGATGGTTGAGAAAGCAAATCAGTATACACAGCTCTTATAAGAAAGATAACAAAAAGAACGGAACTGCACCTTTAATGTTGTTCGAAGTGTGTGTCCAAAACTAACAGTTACAAGCTAGTTCATGCCGAGCCAGAGCTGCCAGACTGTGCAACAGCTAGCACAAGACTGACTGATGTGGTACTGACATTCAACCACCTGAAGTTAATCTATAATCACGTCTTGAATGCGCAAAGGCAACAGCCTTCCAACTTGGAAGGTTCTGAGAAATAAAATGAAAACTGGTATCAGGTTTGTAAAAACATTTTTGTCCTTTATTTCAATTTGTATCCTTGGCCCCCCACCCGAGTCTTATAGTCTTATAAGTCTTACAAAAGTTATAATCGGATAGCGCCAAAAATGCTTTTAACAAATTTGGTAATACAGAGTGTGCTTCAAGGAGAACACCTTCCTACTTAAAAAAATATTGGCTTGCGAAGATACGTCAAGGAAGATTAAGACAAACCCGATTTTTAAGATTGATTTCCTTTAACGCAGTCAATTCCCGTCTGTCACCGAAGAGAGTCTGCCATTGACATGAACCCAGTCAATTTATTTATCTACTGTGAAACCTGTCGAAGACGACCGCTCAAGGGACCTTCAAAACGTGGTCCTTGTTACCAGGTGGTCTCCCTGTCCAGGGTCAGTTGACGGGAAATATCACCCATTGGTCCTGGTTTCAGTGGTCTTATAGGACAGGTGGTCCCCTTATGCAAGTGGTCGCCTTGACAGGTATGACTGTATCTAGTGATTTCATAGAGTTCCTGGGGTAGCTTTTTTTCCTGCTGGTACTTCTTCATTTCGGCGAAATTTAGTATTGCTGTTCGTCGGTATCATTCGCAATCTATGTTTTCTTTGAAAGGTATTCCTGACTTTTGTGTCTAGGCTGACCACATCTATGATATTTTCAATAGTTTGTGTACCGTACTGGCAATATATGTTGCCGCAGTGAGGCCATGATGCGTTACATTGGCACATGTTTGCCGCACGCAGGGCGTTACATGCAAAGTCGCACAGGAGCCGTTACACAGGTTTCTATATTGCCGCAGTCCTTTTTTTGCTATTGCAGGACTTCCTGCTGCGTCCAGTTTTGAACTTTTCACCACGCGGTTCACGTGCTTTCACAGTTTTCAGCCTTTTTTGCAATGAAAAGATCGCCGCACCCCGCCGGACGCGCGTTACGAACTCAACGAAAATTTGTCGCACTAGCCTGGTCGCGCGTTACGCCGCACCCCCCTGCGTTACGCGTTACGCGGCAACATATATTGCCAGTACGGTATATGTCAGTTATAGTAGTCCGCAATGCTGCTTTTCTAATTCTCATTATGATTAGCATGCAATGTACTCCCCGAAGTACTGAATTTACTTCTTTTGTTTGTACTCTATATTCTAATGCATCTTCTACCTCTTCTCGCTTACGAACATACTTTCTCATTTTCCATACTTACTTAGGAGACTCCCTTCGATAGGCATCTATTTGCCTCTGGAGGATCCGTGAAATAAAAATCAATCAAAAATTTCCCCTGTTTTGTCTCGTTCATGTTATAGAGCAGCATACGTCACGAGGCTAAATGGCCCTTCTTTTCCTACATGGACTTACAATTGTTCTAGTTTTACGTTCCAAAATAGACTCGCAGGAAGAACGGTCAGTTGGTTGCTGCTAAGATCTCTGCAAGAAAAGACAAGAAGGAGCGATTTGTTTCGACTGGCTTGCTATGTATGGCACGAAGGTCATGGTCGCAATAGTTACCTACCATACATTACCAGTATTCAAGTGCCGATACCTCAGATTGTGGTTGAGGACGTGGATGGTCAAGTACCAGGTATGGAATCGGGGTTATATTTTCTAATAGTGCTACAACGTTCAGTCAATTCGAGAAGCTTGTGGCATGGTTCAAGCATAACATGGTGACTTTGAACGCTACAGAAGCAACAAAAAAACATTTGAATGACTTCATGCTGTTAGTAACGTTAGTATAAATTAATGTTTTAACACAAAAAAAGTTACCGGTACTCAAAGGTGGCTTTCTAGTCACTTACAGGCTTGTTAGCTTGGTGGTGTGGAGCAGCAAGTCGGGAGGTAGAGCTGTGATTTGATTATTGCTGAGACTACTGCACAGCACAGGGGACATAGTACCGATGCATGTATACTCACTGTGAAACCTGTGTAAGACGACCGCTCAAGGGACCCTCAAAACGTGGTCTCTGTTACCAGGTGGTCTCCTCATCCAGGGTAATTTGCCTGGAAAAAAGCCTCCCTTGGTCCTGGTCTCAGTGGTATTTTAGGACAGGGGGCGCCTTTTCCGAGTGGTCGCATTGACAGGTTTTTACTGTATGCCAACAGTACCTGAAGAGTGCGTTCATTGTTGAAGCCCTTGTTCTTCCCCGTGCTAACACCCGATTTGGTTTCAGTGCAATTTCTTATTTAGGTGCTGATAGGTGGAATGCACTGCCACCAGCTTGCCATACGCCTAGGTCACCAGCTGAATTTCGCCCATCTATCAAAATGTTCCTAGGGTTCCCTGTAAAAAGGCGTCGCGGCCTGTTGGGAATTCCCTAGTAAAACAAGAATAAATAATAATACTCAATCTGCGGACAGAACTGTTTCGTCCTTTGTGGACTCGTCAGCGCAGCACAGCGGAAATGAGGCCGAACCTGATAGCAATGGAAATAAAAATTTCCAATCAGGCCCGAACGTACCTTGCCAGAGTGATCAAACTGACAAGTCAGTGAGCTCTGCATAACGCAAACAGCAAAGGCACTACCCCACGCAAGAGTGCTCAACTGCTACAAGAGCAGGAGCGAAATACTCAATCTGCAGACAGAACTGTTTCGTCCTTTGTGGACTCGTCAGCGCAGCACAGAGGAAATGAGGCCGAACCTGATAGCAATGGAATAAATAATAATAATAATAATAATTTTGAAGGACGCTTCACACAGCTTCATTATACTTGAATCGTTTGCAGGCAACCTGCCTACACTCAAGAGAGCACTGCATTTCACACAAATCCATTAGAGGTATCGTTACAACGTTTCGGTCTTATGACCATCATCAGGAATGAAGTGGACATGGAAAGAACAGCAGTATAAAAGAAGGAGGCAAGCAAGCAAAGCGTGGTACATAGTGACAGCGAGCGTAGAGAAGTGCAAAGCACGTCATGGCGGGTGTGCATTAATACATGTACATGACAACATAAGCACAAACAGCGAGGAAAGTAGATACTGCGCTACAGCAGTGATACAAGCACAGTTCCAGTCTCACACCACCAGTGAGGTGTGTAGAGCCCCGCGCCACTCGCAGTAAATAACAGCTGTATTCAATGCCGGCAAAGCGCACAGATCAGTACAACAACATCCCATGCATGATGCTAAAGGTAGCTGAGCAAGAAAGATGATTGCAGACCATGGTAGAATGTGGAAGAGCACACTCCATAAAAGGTGGTAGCCAAGGTACGTGAAGGCATGCATTGCCCACACACATGTGCCGAGTGTATCACCCAGAACGCATGCTAGAAGCCAATAAGGCCGCACAGGGGGTGTTATAGCAGGTCCCAGCCACTGTTGTTGTTGATTTCCGGGGATCGCTCCCAGATGTAGATGGCCTCTCGGATCCTCCTCCTGGGGCGGTCACGCTCAGAACCAAGAACCCGGATACCCGAGAAGGCCGTTGCTCCCAATGGCAATGGTTTAGATGCATGCTTGGCTGCAAAATGCTCACCCAGCGCGGAGCCGCTCATGTTTCACCGGATGTATATCCTATGAACTATGCCGCAAGCCATGTCACAGCGGACTGGTATCAGACTACAACTCGTCAGTTCCCAACCAGCAAAAGAAAGCAATTGCTTCTTCTGAGTTCCTGCGTGCCGTCCGTCTATCCTCCGATGCTGACACCCTTAAAAGAAGTGAAGAAAAAGTAACCAACATCCTAAAATTCAACAACTTCCCAGAGTCAGTTATAGTTTCGGCACGTGAACGAGCTATGCGCCCCCGACGTGGAAGAGTGCAGAATGAATACCGTGTCACCCTAAACCTACCGTTTCACACCGAGTATATCCACAACAAAAATCATAAATTACTCCGGAAGCACAAGATAAATGCCCAGCTGATCTACAGGAACAGCCGTCTAAGTTCTATGATTTGCACGTCTGCCCTCCGCAAACCACCATGCCGCAGGTATGTAGACCCGTCCAAGCCCCGTAAACGGGGGCGGCCCAAAGCTGCTTGTGTCGCCTGCATGTCCCGTTCAGAAACATGCACAGATAGAAACGTCGTATACCACCTCGAGTGCAAATGTGGTGATAAATATGTCGGAGAGACGTACCGTAGCCTCTCCACCAGGACAAAAGAACACAACGACGACGCACGCAACACAGTGAGCGGCACCGCGCTGGGTGAGCATTTTGCAGCCAAGCATGCAACTGAACCATTGCCATTGGGAGCAGCGGCCTTCTCGGGTATCCGGGTTCTTGGTTCTGAGCGTGACCGCCCCAGGAGGAGGATCCGAGAGGCCATCAACATCAGGGAGCGATCCCCGGAAATCAACAACAACAGTGGCTGGGACCTGCTACAACACCACCTGTGCGGCCATATTGGCTTCTAGCATGCGTTCTGGGTGATACACTCGGCACATGTGTGTGGGCAATGCATGCCTTCACGTACCTTGGCTACCACCTTTTATGGAGTATGCTCTTCCACATTCTACCATGGTCTACAATCATCTTTCTTGCTCAGCTACCTTTAGCATCATGCATGGGATGTTGTTGTACTGACCTGTGCGCTTTGCCGGCATTGAATACAGCTGTTATTTACTGCGAGTGGCGCGGGGCTCTACACACCTCACTGGTGGTGTGAGACTGGAACTGTGCTTGTATCACTGCTGTAGCGCAGTATCTACTTTCCTCGCCGTTTGTGCTTGTTTTGTCATGTACACGCACACCCGCCATGACGTGCTTTGCACTTCTCTACGCGCGCTGTCACTATGTACCGCGCTTTGCTTGCTTGCCTCCTTCTTTTATACTGCTGTTCTTTCCATGTCCACTTCATTCCTGATAATGGTCATAAGACCGAAACGTTGTAACGATACCTCTAATGGATTTGTGTGAAATGCAGTGCTCTCTTGAGTGTAGGCAGGTTGCCTGCAAACGATTCAAATAATAATAATAATAATTGTTGACATAGAAACTTCGTTTGCTGGGAGTTGAGGAAGGTCGGGGGGGGGGGGGGAGGCGGGGAGGGGGGGGGGAACAATACATGACTGAGCTCAGGCCGAACTCCACGACTGTAACAGGGTTATCATGCAGGCTACCTGGTTGAGTCAATCGAGTCCTTTTATCATTATTATTATTATTACTTCAAGAAGTATTAACTGGTTTGAGGGAAAGAGACAAACGGGAAAAGTCTGAAGAAAAAATTGACTGTCACCACCAGGACTCGAACCAGGGTCAAGAAGTATTATTATTTATTTTTTAGTTATATAAAAGAGAAAGACCAATGAACTACAAGTTACGCTATACTGTCCACTAACACCACCAGTTACTAAACAATCATCTCATGCGATTACATTCACGACACTGACCGACGGTACTGACGTTCTACAACTAACTGGCTAACAGCTCTAGCACATCTTGGATGCGCACTCCAACAGCCTTCCAACTTGGAAGGTTCTAAGTTATAGAAATAACATAAGGAGGTATCGAATGAGCTGATTGTTTAGTTACTGGTGGTGTTAGTGGACAGTATAGCGTAACTTGTAGTTCCTTGGTCTTTCTCTTTTATATAAATTAAACATTGGCTCTCCATCTGAGCCCATTATTTTTTTAATTTGTTTTTGTAGGTTCAAGTCCTGCTTGGAAGCGGAAGGATTTTTTCCAGCCGTGCTGCGACCCACAGTTAATTGGGAACTCGTGGCCTGGCACGAGGGAAACATGGATGCAGTGAATGGGATTTCGGTCTTTGACCACTTTGTGGTGGGTCTGATCTACTCACCTCCCACCGTTAAGGAGCTGCATCTGCGCCTTGATCCAAGAGGGTGGTGGCGTTCCTGCGGATGCGGAAAACTGGGCCTTTGGCCGAGTCTCACGCGAACCGTGAATTATTATTATTTTTTTTTTGTAGGTGCTTGAAGCTGAGGGCGATTTACACGTGCCCGCCCTGCCTGTTTTCTCCAAATAGAGTGCATGTACACATGTGACGTGGCTCCGTCTGTTGCGATGTTTCGCTATGCCTTGCTGAAGCCTGGCATTTCGCCGCGTGCGCACAACTTCGCTCGAAACACCCGCCTTTTCTGGACTCGGATGGCGAGCCAGTTTTGTCCATGAAAGGAGAAGGAAACGGGGTTAGGAATTATTACCCTATTATTACCCCATGTAACTGTGCACTCGTGAAACCGGATTTTTAGCGACACGTCCTATTAGCAGATGTCTGCTGAGAGTCTTGACATGAAAAATTCCAATCGGGCCACTTTCACTGTCCTATGGCTGGCTATCGCCCACATCACCATTTCATTGGCTAGTGCCACGTGATTGTGAATAAATAAATAATAATAAGTAGCCAGATCACATGCAGTTTCTGTCATGTTTTCTGTACATACACAATGTACAATCATCACTTCAGTATACATTTGTTTTTATGTATAAGCATTATAATAAATGTTGAGCCTAAGGATTTACTGCAATTACAGCAGCTACATTGGAGATGGACGAATTTGTATTATTACAAGCCGAGCCAAAGCAAAGGAAACAAAGGTGATAACTTCCCCAATCATCTCATCAATCATCATCTCTTAGTAACATGTCAGTTTCGTGCCCTGTTATCTCACTTTCTGACTGTTGATTATCTTGTTACAGTCGTGGATAATTGCTTCGTAACTCGTTTCCATGTGATTTCGTCTATTTAATTATATTTATCGGCTCAGCATTCGAGTTAAATCATCTGTTCCCGACTAATATTCAGGTTCCCTACTACCAGCACAACAGGCACCGCAAGATCTCCCAGAGCGTGAAGCACTGAGCGGTGAACGGGATTTCCCCTCTTCCTACTATGTGATGCAAGGCAGTATGAAGTTTGGAGGCTGCCTGTGGCAGCTTCTAGTTTGGTAACATGTGGAGTAAAAAAAAGTAAAAAAATTATAGCGACAACGTACAGAACGGTGAGTTTGGGAGTATGATGAAAGATCTGCGCTGGTATGCTAGTCAGCTGGCAACGAGATGCGTCCCTGTAGAGGCAGAAAGCGAAGCAAAAGTACCCTGAAAATGAAGTTCTGTAATTTATCTTGGAAAGATATAATTCAAAAGCGCTATCATGCACTTCCCAATTATGTCATCCTAACTGTACAGAATGGAACGCTGTTTGTGCACGTGGTTTGAATATTTCTCGAACTGGACCTGTAAAAACCTTCGCTCCCTAGCACTTGGCAGATGATACTGGAGAACAACAAGCCAAGTGAGGTTTGCGCTCTTTGTGGGGCATTGGACGTGAGACTTACCACCACACCCTGGCCGTTAACCGCTGCGTCTGCCCCCCTGGTATCATAGGCAGGGTGGTGGCTAGGGCAAGCGGATTATGCTCGGGAAATGGCCAGATTATGGTCTAGCGGATTCTCGCAGGATGCTCGAAAAAACAGCCAATTATGCTTTTATACATGTATGCTTCGCCAAAAAGAGGCAAAAGAGCAGATAATCGTCATGAAAAAAGGACTTAGACCAATGTCATGATGTGGACTGGGAGCTTTGTGGAAGTACAAGACAACAATATGCAAGAGGAATACCAAATTCACAAGTAAACGCTGAACTTTTGGGAGATGGCCTATATTGGCAGCTAAAGTATTAATGTATGGTTCTTCAATAGCAGGTGTGTATAAAGCAGCCTCATTGGGCATCTGCCCTTGTTTGTCGGATGCCATTTAATGCTCCTTCTCAAAAAGGACCTGATTATGCACACAATTATCCCTTCAATTATGCCTTCAATCGCAGGTGTGTATAACAGCCTCATTGGGCATAATGCCCTTGTTTTTTGGATGCCATATTATGCTGCTCCTTATCAAAAAGCACCTGATTATGCCAAAAAATATGCCGGCATAACCCGCTTACCCCTAGCGGTGGCCTGGCGCGAGCGAAAACCTCTCTAAGTTGCACGGTTATGTTTCTCAACACAATTGTAAGCCAGTGGCATCTTCACTTACACAGAGTTCAGTTGTGATGTGTAGCGAAACAAGTCGGGAGGTAGCGCCGTGAGTGGGTTATCGAGCAACCCCCTATACAGGGTAGGAAGGCGGAGAGACATCAACATGTACATGATTAGTAGACGTAGTCACGTGGTGTGCTTCACTGTCCGAACAGTGCTCAGTACCCATGTAGGGCAGAGCCTTGTACACAAGAGAGAGATTCGAAGCTTTGTCACAACTCTGAGTTTCACGTATTCGATCATGTACATGCACTTCGAAGCACTATCACCTGATGAGTGCCTGAGATGGCATGACACTTTAAGTTGTGACTGATCAAGCCATCTGTTGTTCTGACTAGTGTGTCACGGCTCTACCTTCCCGGTGTCGAGCTCTCTTGGATTTCTGCTGGAATTCACAACAGTGTGTACTTCGAAGTAGACACATGAAAAGTAAAACAACCAGATTAAACTTTGTGCAAAGGCTTTCCACTCGGATGGAGAGCAAAGGATTACTACTACTAGTGATGTACAAAAGAGCTGGAGGAACAAGGGTGTTAGTGTTGACACACCACCGGATAACTTGTAAACATTATGGCCCTCTCTAAGGCTTTTCGCTGGTACTTGTCATCGTGCAGAATGCAGAATGTGCCCATATTTATATCAATTGAAAACTGATTCTGGCGTCTAGCTACAGACGGTGGTGTGGTCCCTGATGAAACCGAGATATCAGTGTCAAAATAACTCGGGGGAAGGTATGAGGAGAGTTTTAATTAAAGACGCCGTCTACATCAAATACTAGTAGGTGTTTTTTTACGCAAGACTTCACTAAGCGATGTTCAGAAACTTACACATTCTCAAGCTTCACAGTGCTATGAAAAAGCTGTGGTGACAAGGCAGATTGCTGGCTCTCCAGCAAGGACCTGCAGATCACGGAGAAGCAAATTGTATACACACCATTGCATTGTGCGCATTTATATGAAGTTATTCGATTGATTTTTCATCTGCGAGAGAGAGAGAGAGAGATCACTCTGACGAGATGGTCCCCAAACGGAAAGAATCGTTTTGCAATACACAAAGTTATGCTTATGGTGTTTGTACTGAAGGCGCAGCTCTCTCTATTCATTGCGATAATTACATCATGCCATGTTAAGCGTCATTTGAGAATTAGTGAGCTTGCGTGTACCTAAGCAGGGGTAAGTTGCTCTCTTCCAATTTGCATGTACCATTAATGTTCACATTTGAGAGTACTCAAATCTGTGGACAGCAACGGTTTCGCTCTGTTAGAGCTCCTCAGCACAGCTCAGAGGACCGAAGCGCAGCTCTTCGCAATGAAATACGTTTCCGTGAAGCAAAGCAGTTTTATAGAGAGCTGCAAACCCCGCCAAGAGTGCTCGAAATGCTCCAAGAGCAGTGAACGTTGCACAAGGCGAGCGGCAAGCGTTCACGCTAAGGTAAGAGTGCTCAACCTAACAACATTGCTGACTGCTAGGAAGCATAATTCTCAAATCTGTGGACAGCAACTGTTTCGCTCTGTTAGAGCTCCTCAGCACAGCTCAGAGGACCGAAGCGCAGCTCTTCGCAATGAAATAAGTTTCCGTGAAGCAAAGCATATTTATAAAGAGCTGCAAACCCCGCCATTTGAGAGTAGATTACTTCACCAAGTCCTTTTCAAAAAGCGCTATAGAAGAACAACTTGACACCGGTATAGCACTCAAATTGGCCGAAAATTATCCATGAGTCTGCAAACGAGGCACGGGTGACAGAACTGTCATTTCCTGGCTTTTCTAGTTTTGACACCAGTTCGCTCTTCATTGCGATATTTACCATTCTCTCTTCTTTCTCAAAATGTGCTCACCAACTCTTCTTCCCTGTAACACAATAACATATTCGCTGCCTTGTCATGAGTATTTTGTGCTCATTTATATTTTCGAATTCAAATAAAGTATACAAAAACAACAACAGCAAAGAGCCGACCCGCCCACATATAGCCTCACCATAGAGAAATTGCTGGAGTAGTACCAGACTGTCCTTTTTGTAAGCAGAAGCCGGCTGGTGGTTAGGCCACCAACAACTCGTACGTTATGTTAATTGGTTTTGTGTTGTTTGTTTGTTTGAAGTTTTATTTTACATCGCAAACCAAACGGGCATTGATGCCCAATATTATGATGGCGATAGAATAAAAAGTGTGGCTCGATAAAGCTTGTCATCACATATATTTGCCTGCACAAGTCGCTTCACTAGTATAATTATAAATCAATGATAATTTTCACTGTTAGGAGATCCCCCCGATAGGCTATGCCTTTGGGAAATCCTTTAAATAATAAATATCAAATACCACACTATCCATTTCATGCCCGTTAGGTTACTCATAAATCGGTATACATCCTTCTCGGCACTCATCATGGCAATCTTCTGTGCATGAGCCACGCTTTGATCGTCCTTGTTTTTAACTCTTCATCCTAGCCCTGTTCTTTACGCTTTGTACACAGGAGTAATATTGTATCACTCTAATCCCCCCCCCCCCTGTCCTTGTTCTCTTGCTCATGCCTTTGCGGATAATGCAGGCAGAAAAATTGGCAGAATTCGGTACTTTCTCTGGTAAGTTTCATGCATGTTTGGTATGTGGATAAAGAAATGGAGCAGAATTCGAGGAATTTCCCGCCATACGGTTTGTATGGTTCTGCCAATTTCACTGCTTTTCAAGCAAAATCTGCCACCTTTTCGAGCACTATCCACCAATGCCTACGGGGAGTCATGTCTGTAGTTCGCTATGCAAGAAGGCTTGAAAGTGTTCTCGTGACAACATTAACAAAGTTTTTTCCAGAGCCTGAAGTGTGTCGTTCTTCTTAGTGTGAAATCCATTACATTTAAAAGCAGTTTGGAAACTGGTACGGAGCGATTACACGAGAGAAAACACATTGACACTTACAGTACTTTCAGAGTCGAAGAATTTGCAAAGAAAGTTGGAGACAGTTGCGCAAGAGATCCAGATGGATTCCTCCCGAGGAACCTGATGACAGGGAGTAGAAGAGAGAAAATCCTTTCCCACCACCCACACCAATTATTATTGTGCACTGACATTACTTAAAAATAGATAAAACAACAACAACCGGGACTCGAACCCATGACCCTGCTTGTCATTAGCACTGATCTACCATACGATATGTGGGTGCAGGCTGAACTTAGAAGGCGCTGACAATGTTTTCACTCCAAAGGCCTGTTTGCGCATCCAATACCTGATAGAGCGTATCATCAGGTCGTTAAAATTCAGTATCACATCAGTCAGTATTGTGTTAGCTGTAGCACCTTCTGACTGCACAACATCTTGCTTATAGCTGTTAGTGTTGGACACAAGCTACGGATAACATTGTAACGATTTGATCCTCTCTTTTAAATGTAGTACTTGAATCATTTGGCCTATTCATTATCTTCTTGATCTACATGTAAAACTCACAGTATTGACAAGGCGATGGTGTTGTCAAGCAGGTCCGAAGGCAGTGCATTCCATGGGTTATCATGAATAGCCCTGGGGACATAGAGTATTGAACAGGCACTGTGTACACACAACATCTGCCTTCTTCGGGGTACATGTTCAAAAAATATGTACTTTGCCATACACGGATAAAAAGCAGGTAGTCAATCACCTTCCGGGAAGTGTCCATAACCCCAAGAGTGTGCAACTCTGTACATGGGGATCCCAACGAATTCCAATATTACGAATTCCAATAATTATTACGTCACAAATGACGTACACTTTCGTTGCGCTTGCACTACTCCCTGGTTCCAAGCAGCGCGGAATGCGCAGTTTTGTCCTCTGTGCCTCAGCGGCATGACGTAATGCTGGAATTCTGCCGCGCACTGCGCAGTGGGACTACAGCATGCACGTAACAGCAGCGGCCAGACCCCAGTTGCACACTCTTGGGGTTACGGATTCTTGCGTCCGGTCTTTTGTAGAATTCGGAGTCAAAATATCGACAGTTTTAGAAGTTAACGCCAGATACAATCAAACTTGACAAATAAAATTAAAAACAAAATTTAATTTAAAATGCGACTCCTGATGCTCCTGGTACTCAGATAGTACCACTAACACAAATGTTTAATATAATGGCGATAAGGAAGACGAGCTGAAGTGACATTTGGATTACTTTAGACAATGTGACGTGATGGAGACGAACCAGACGATGCGAAAAACAATCTAAAAGGTAAGGAGAAAGGAGAAATACATGTAAGGAGAAAGAGCGATGGAAAAAATATGATTCGTACTTTCTTGTTGCTGATACACACATGCCACGCTAAATTCGCATACCATTGTTTTGTGCATTCCTTAGTGAGAAGTATCACACTTTGATATTTTAGTGCTGTCATTATACCCTGCTACTCTAACTTGATTATTATTTCCTTTGTTCTTATTTTTTGTTTAATACAACGGTGATTCCTGAAGAGTGTTGTACGAAAACGTGTTCGAATCATCATTTTTTCCATCGCTTTTTCTCCTTACATGTACATGTATTTCTCCTTACCTTTTAGATTTGTTTTCGCATCGTTTCCATCACTTGACATTGTTTAAAAAAAGTAATCCAAATGTCACCTCAGGTCGTCCTCCTTATTGCAATATTAGAATTGTTGTCTCCTCGAATATTTAACACAAATATGATTTTTTGTGACAAGGTCTGTTTTGTCATTTGACGGCCAGAACCCTGGTTCGGGTCCTCGTGGTAAAGTCGGATATTTGTTCAGACTTTTCCCGTTGACAGCTTCCCTCAAACCAATCGGCGTCCTAGTCCAAATTTCTCGCCTTTTGCATGCTAGTTCTTCCTTTTCTCATTTACTGGCAAGGTTTAGCACACTGATGCTGTTCAGCGGTAGTCCTCATTGGTTCTGGATGCTGGTTCTTTTGTTGAAGAGAATACCCGAAATCCGGTTAGTGAAACTCGTGAGTCTAGACCATCGTTTTGTTGCTTGAGTGATGTATCTTAATTCGCACAGTGGTTGAGAATGAGAGCACGACTTTTATACTTCATTATTATTATTATTTGAAACTCGGGTATTGAGCCAATAATAATTGTAGAAAGGAAAAGGACATATGGAAACGAGTTAAGAACGGATGTGTTGAAGCTAGGTGTCAGGACGTCGAATGTCTCAGTACTCTGTCAGTTTAATGCCTAGTTGTTGCACTTTCTGACTGTATAATTATAGTATCTACAAGTAGTTACAGTGGTGGAGGGTTACTCTTAACTCGTTTCCATATGTCCTTTTCCTTTCTACAATTATTATTATTATTATGAAATGACCCAAAGTCAATATGCCTATCGAGGGGTTCATTTGATTAAAAGAACAGTACTACCACTAGTGTGCACAGGGCTTGATAAGGAGAGAAACGGGGAAAATCAACTGCAAGGTGGCGGAATTCCGTTGGTGGCGTAAGCATGGTTAGCTGTAAATTTCCTGAGGGCAGCTTTGAACTTATGGAGCGAGGACTCCGATGTTAGACTGGGGGTACACAGTTCCATAAAATAGCCGTTCTTGCAGTTCAAAAATCCCTTTAACTTTATAATTATGTTGATAACAAGTGAAAGTTGCCAGCAAACCCTTACAATACGTCCAGTGCTGTAAGATCCTGGAAAATGCCACTGGGCAATGTTGTCAGTGAATTATAGCGAAGAAACCTGTGAAATAGAATGTTTCAGTAGAACAAAGGACAACCAGAATGTGAAAACTGTGAAGTGAGAGAAACAGGCTATGGAAAAACACTTCTGGCTGTCTCACCCTCTCTTGCGCCACCTACGCACCAATGTTGCTGCTTGCTTGTGAGTATACCACATTTTGGAATGCATACCTAATCAAAAAAGAGAGGACCATAAGTACAAGTAATCCGATTTATTCAACACTAACAATTATTAGCAGGATGCTGTTGAGTCAAAATGTGCAACAATTAGCACAAAAACTGACTGATGTGATACTGACATTCAACAACCTGAGGCTTAGCTGCATCACGTCTGGAATGCGCAAACCATTCACAGCCTTCCAACTTGGATAACTTGTAAACTTATGGTCCTCTCTTTTTCAATTTATTCCTTGGCGCATTCCAGACGTGATGCAGCTAAGCATCGGATCGTTAAATGTCGGTATCACATCAGTCAGTTCTGTGCTAATTGTTGCACATTTTGACTCAACAGTATCCTGCTTATAATTTTTAGTGTTGGACAAAATGGATAACTTCTAAACTTATGGACGGTATGGTCCTCTCTTTTTCAATTTTAATCCTTGGCTCTTCATCCGAGTTGAATCTGTATACTTAATCATAGTGTTTTTTGCTTGGCCTGCCTTCACTTCAGTCAGGAAGTAATCCGTTGATGATAGTGACGTGTAAATCGATTTTGGAAAACACGTGACTTCGTTGATGCATGGTGATGGCGGCAGAGAAAGTTTTATTTATTGCCAATTATTTATAATTATGGATTTGGTATTACGCCCGTCGACATTCATGTTGTTCACCAAACTAAGTCGGCTGCTTTACTGCTGCTGCAGTACGCATCGCTCACTACGTTTTTGGGTGCCAGTGTACGCTTCTCGTTGGCTGAGAATTCGAAAGAAACGAGAAGCAATGTTCTCTCTTGTTTTTTTTCTTTTTTTCTTGCAACATGGCTGTCCGCAGCCGACCCTGCACCGTGGTTTTGCTGTTGCAAATGTGAGGTGTGAGAGAGAATCTTTGTACCATGGCCTACAGCAAGAGTACATAACTCTCCAAGAGTGTGCAACTCGACTATGGGTGCTGTCCGGACAGAATTTCAAGTTGACGTCATTTTTATGATGTAATGCACACTGGAGTACTGCACAGACGAATCTGGAACCTGTGGTGGCACGTGGACGAAAGCCAATCTGATCCTTTACAGATTATTGCAAAGAAAACCGTGTGATGTGTTGACACCCGTACACATGTTGTGAATCACTGGTGCAAGGAGCATTACATCATAAATAATGACGTTAACTTGAAATTCTGTCGGGACAGCAGGGTATGTGGGGAGTTGTTATGTACTCTTCCCTGTAGCTTGGCTTACTTTTAAAATGCTCGTTGCTGTACTGATGACGCCTAGATGGCCGAAACAGCTTTCTACAGCATTGATAATTATGGACAGATAATGCGAAGACACAAATAGGGAGAGAGGAAAATCGTGCCAGGCTCTAACCGATCTTCAGGAAACTGATAGTGCATACGGGCTACACCTCAGGGATGGTGGTAACTGCTCTTCGTTGAAGTTCGTTCCCCGGGCAACTCTGCGTACGATGTGAAAGATCGAGTATTCAATAATCATGCAGATATTTGCCGGATACAAGGCCACTTACAGAGCTTCTAATTTGACAAGGCCCCTGAACACGCCCGCGGTTAGGGCCTGTATTCCGTTATGTTCCAAATTGCTAGATAAAATACACACAAAACACAAGTGACATACCAGCAGAGAGAATCACACTCGAGTTGTGGCACTGTATTCGTTTGCCCTTACTTCTCTCTAAGCGAACAGCAACAAGGGAAGTCTACAAGGACCAAATGAACTCTGAATCAAAAGCGCTGATCAACACAAATACATCCTGTGCCACGACCTCCTCTATTTCACAAGTATAGACGCTCTATTTTTCAGGAATAGTAAAGTAGAATTTATTCCATGTGAGTAAATATTGCCTCGCAAAGTTTCGCCTAAACTAATCAGCGGGCTAGCTTTCAATCTTCAAAAAATATTTTCCAGTGTAGTCCAAATTTCCTGGTGATTGAAGCTCAACGTTCATCTTGGTCAAATTCATAAGTGGTATGGTATGGTATGGTATGGTATTGATTTATTTGAATTCGGAATCTCAACAGCACAATGTATTGCAGTACAATGTACAACTTGGGAGTATCCAAATGACATAGATGCATAAACATAAAAGTGGAGTAGGTGCTACAGCTGATCATTTCATCGCAGGTTGTGGGACTAAACTAATACCAGTATGCAAGTACACAAGAAATAAAAGCTAAATAAATACGACTGCATGACATTGGAGAAAAGCACCAACTAGAGCAAAAGTGGAAAGTGTTGATTAGCGTGCTCCCCTGCAATCTTCACGGAGAGCACGGAAATGAGGGAAAGCCATACGACTACCCATTGCCACATTCAGAGCCTAGGCATCGAGCGAGATGACAAGATATTTTGCTGAGTAGGATCCAACTCTAAAGTCTTGTAGCGTGACTGTGTTGGAAGTTTTTTGATCGTTTGCTAGGTTTCAAATTGGAGGTTAGTGTTACACCTGTAAGATAATTTCATGTTACTTACACATTATGACTTTCAGCTATGCAAAATGTATGCAAAGGTTGGGCGCCTATCGTCTGTTGCCTCAACGATTCGTTCTATCGCGAACATGATCACCTACCCAATAGTGTATTATATTAATTATTCATATCTTTTTCCCTCTTTCCCTCGAGTGTGTCTATTGTTATTAGGCAATTGTCTGTTTTGTCACCACTATAAATAAAAATCCAATCCAATCCAAACATAAACATTATTGTGGAAGAGAAAAGGACATACGGATACGAGTTAAGAGTAACTCTCCATCACTGTTACATGATACTATATACAGTCAGAAAGTGCAATAACTAGGCACAAAACTGACAGAGTACTGAAACATTCGACGTCCTGACACCTAGCTTTAACACATCTCCGTAGCGCTAACCGACAGCCTTCCAACTTGGAAGGTTCAAGGTTATGGAAAAGACCAAAGAGGGGAAGGCAAGCGCAACGAAAACGAGCAAAAGCCACAGTCCCAACGGAACAAAGAATGTCGATTGTTACTGGACGATGACGAGACCAGTACGATATTTGACAAAGCGGTCTAACTACAATTCGAAGCAGCAAAGCAGCACACCACCCAACTTGGGTGGGTCATAAATATCAAAGATAAGTAGAGAAAGGGAAGCTTTGCGAAAACGAATTGTACAAGCCGAAAGCCAAACTCCTACAGTACTCCTCATGCATGACATTGTGATGGACTAGTTGACTACAAAACAAGTTGTTTCACACGACGTACGTTTCACACGACGTACGTTTCAGTTTCAGTTCCGTTGGGACTGTGGCTTTTGCTCGTTTTCGTTGCGCTTGCCTTCCCCTCTTTGGTCTTTTCCATAACCTTGAACCTTCCAAGTTGGAAGGCTGTCGGTTAGCGCTACGGAGATGTGTTAAAGCTAGGTGTCAGGACGTCGAATGTTTCAGTACTCTGTCAGTTTTGTGCCTAGTTATTGCACTTTCTGACTGTATATAGTATCATGTTACAGTGATGGAGAGTTACTCTTAACTCGTATCCATATGTCCTTTTCTCTTCCACATTTATTTATGGCTCAACATCCGAGTTTCAAATAAACATTATTATTATTATTATTTGCATTTTCGCGTCATCGTCAATCAAATGATTGATGATTTCGCTTATGCTGAGTGGTGGTAAACAGAAATCAAATATGGAAGATGCTGATGTCAAGGCAGAAAACAATATTGCATTAGAGCGGTTAAAAAGATGCACGTTATGTCCGAGTTGCCGCGCAATTTCACGTCAAATTTGGAGTACAACTCCAAATTTCGACGTGAGCTGCAGGTCACTCGCGTTGTTTGTCGACGCACCAGCCAAATAACGCGGGCTGAACTTTCGCGTCACATCAGAAATAACGTGCACCTTAACCTCTCTATTGCACGAGATTGGTTACTTAATAATACTTACATACTAGTCACATTCGTCAGGCCTTGGAATACGTTGTTGCCAACGATTGGTGCACTCACAAGTACTCTGTACAGGACCAGAAAACCCAGTGATCGTTCTCTTGTGTGTCCATGTATTATACCCAATGCTGTAGATAGCAAGCTGTTTCGGCCATAAAGGCCTCATCAGTAAAGCCACGAGCTTTAATTAAGCCGAGTTGCCAGCCATGGTGCAAAGGTGGCGCCACAGACATTCAGACAACTCGTTGGTCTAGGACCAGAGTTCTCAAACTGCGAAAGGTAGCAAGAGATGCATAATGCAGCAGCACTACTGGAGCCTATCGAGAGTGCTCAACAAGACGAATATCGAGAAGCGAGATACATGCAACCATCCATATTTTGTCTATCTATCTATCCATCTACATAGACAGTTGTCTAAAGTCCCTACAGTCCATTCATTGGAAACTGGAACTCTAACTTTTTGGTGTCTCTCTCACATAGTTGTAGATATCGTGAAAACAACAGTACATCCTGCATTGTGTGACCCGTGCAATTACTCCTTGCCACATTTGAGGCCAGGAAAGTCCAAGAACAGGGAAATATAAATTCAGCCAGGTTTTACAAAATTAGGACAGGTATGCCATGGCAAAATGTATCGAGAAGCAGATCCCAAACCCAGATTTTTGAGATTTAAAGTGGGTTTTTGATCCTCAATTCGGCCCAAATCCGACTTTCAAAAGCCAGCGGGCCAGTTTCCGATGAATGGACTGTAGGCTGCTTACAGTGCTCAATGTCCTGTGGACAGAGCAAGTAATACAAATATTACACAGCAATGAATCAAACAAGTCTCTTTCCGCTGTTACTCCGAGTTTCGTGTCAAAACACTTCATCAGACAGCATAATATGAGTAACAGCGGAAAGAGACTTGTTTGATTCATTGCTGTGTAATATTTGTATCCATCTATCTACCTATCTATCTATCTACATGTATCTATCTATCTACTTATCTAACATCTATGCCATGTGCGTTAAGCGCACGCCCGGTTTGATTCCTGTTTTCATCGTGGATAACTTAGTATAAACTTTAATCAACACCGGCAGCTGTTCCAACACTGCTGTAGCTATGGTTTCGTTTTCCTGAAGGTGCTTTTCCGAAAAGATGAGAAAACCAAAACCGGAAATGCTGCGATCGAAGGTTAGTGTACACGGAGCCTGCTATACACTAAGCGCTGTCTATGGCATTGAGCACTCTCTGCAGCTCGTGGTGATCGGATTTGTGAGGTCAGTATAATAATATCTGTGTTGAGCACAGAGACAGTTCTGCGACATTGCTCAATACCTGATTCAGGCAGATCGGTGTACACAAAGGCACACAATGAAAACCTTGGGCAAATTCTGTTTTGACTCAGAGTTTCATGGCTGAACCAATCATCAGACAACGAATATAACTGTTGAGCAAGAAACCTGGCAATGAAATGCAGTGGCTTCAACTTACATATGTGTAGCGTAGGAAGGAGGGGGACCTACGAAAGGCGTGCCGGCTGACAATCCGGAACCAGAACAACTGATATGTGTGTAAGTGGCGGAGCCCACGGCGGGACAGGTACAAGCGCCTATGCACGTCGCAGATGCACTGCTTGCCAAGAACAAGAGAATCGTCAAGGAATAACCCACCAACATTATTATAACTTGACTGTTTCGCCGGAGGATTAAAACTTATCAGCTGAATCAACTTCAACTACAAGTACATGAACTTTAACCATGTCAAATCTTTTCGCGGAAGAGCACGAGCTCTAGTGTGTACTAACCAACGTTTCTGTAACAAAATAGTAGACAGATTAAGAACATAGACACAACGCTCTATCGGCTGTAAAAAGCTATAAATGCCCACGGGAACAGTGCCTCGCAGTACTAGTATTTGCCGTGTTGAGTTCGCTTGGTGAAGCTTGCCTGTCATATCAAGTATCTGCTAGATCAGTAGATGTACAATGTGCATGTACAGTGCCAGCAGTGTTCATGCGGGCGAATACAAATCATGCAGTCAGCAGGCTCTAGTCATGCTTTATGCGTCCTGTGCAGGTCCTTACTAGTAGTAGTACATCGATCTCTTGTAACTTAAGCCTGTTGTGTGGATATTCACGACAAACACGCAGGCCCAATAGCCAACGAAACAGCAATAGGCGTCCCTTCGCGAAATGTGCCGTTGACGTCGCCACGTGACCTTTCTTTCACACCGTATCCAACACACGTGTAGCGGTTACTTGGACCTTGTTTTCTTTTCTTTCTGGGAACACAGCCCTGTACCGTACTCGTATTCCCTCCCGTGTCGTCAGAATCTACATTGTATTCGTTGTGCTGCTTCAAGCAGGTTCAGAGAACCAGCAGTAGAAGGAACTATATGCATAGAACAGATCACAAAGCAAGTTATGGTGCCCCTGTGGGTATTGCTGGGCATAAGTATCGGTCTTGTATGCTTCCAGCTGGCGCATGCCAGCACTGCCTACCGGTATCTGTCAGATCATGATAAAAGAATGGTGTAACGTTGCTCTCTATGCTCTGCCCCTAATCACACCCTTGTGTGATGATGGCGTAATCGTTAACAGCCATGTGTTCGTGCACAGCTCATGATCCTGCCCTGTTTCGTCACGCATGGGCTGTATCTACTCTCCGAATTGTCACGATACAACTACCGTATGCAGTCACATCCCGAGTGATCATCAAGCACTGCGCCTTAAGTGCGCTCTCCAGCCGACCTCGACACATTGCCGCAGTACTACACCATCAGCAAAGTTACACATCCGGTGTTGGTACTGAGTTCCAGGCGAACGCTGAAGACCTCAGTTATAGTGCAGGGGTTGATGCTTACGCTTACGCTTTTTAAAAGTATCGTACATAGTTACAGTGTTCACTACAGTCGCGGCTAAAGAAATCCGACCTCCGATCCAAAATCAAACAGCGCTCAGGCTCATGCGGCGTCAGCGACAACCGGATAGCGGTTTGATCATGCATGAGGTGATTGAAATGGGAACACAGTGCTGCTTTTGACCCAAGGGTGGATTTCCTTTGCCCAACAGTATGGTAGAATGCGAAAATAAAGTCGAATCTGACAATTACGGGCACCCAAAGCGCCTGAGGTAGAATGTTCTCAACTTACAGGTCTTCTCAAATATCACTATCACCCCTATCCATACATCTCTCAATTATACATGTATTTGCATCACGCATAGCTCACTGATTTGTCAGTTTGAGCACTCTGGCAAGGCGCGTTCGGGCCTGGTTTGAATCGGGCTTTGGACAATTATTTTCATTGCCATCAGGTTCGGCCTCATTTGCTCTGTGCTGCGCTGATGAGTTCACAAAGAACGAACCAGCCTGCGGTCCGCAGATTGAGTAATTGTAATATAATTTCTTAATCTGCGCAAATATGTACGTGATTTTGACTTTCGACATCAGGGGGAGCTTGAGAAACCTTCGCTATTCTAGCAGGATTTTTCAGCAAAATAAAGCGTCACATCACCCAAGCCACTGAGCATAAGGGAAACGGTGGACGCAGCATACTGCTGCTACACTTCAATGCCAGAATGCTTATAATTATTAAAACGGACCAGTAAATTACTAGTTTTGATTAACAATCCACTCGTTATTGGTCCTTTCTCTTTACTAATAATATTGGCTCACCATAGGAGCTTACAATAATGATAATGGTAACAACAATACCAGCCACAAGCTTCAAAACTAAAGCTTAAGCCATGGGTCGACCATTGTGATTACTATGATCGGCCTGTTCTGATCGTAAATTTCCTCTCATGCACGTATTGCAAACCAGGCGCGACCAGACGACTGTGTTTGTCGACTCCTATCCGTCAATTCTGCTGGGCTGTAGTGCAACCGCGTACTCATCACATATGCACATACATACTATATATATAAGTACAAGCACACACAAACACACACACACACACATACACAAGCACGTACAAACACTCACACGCACACGCAAACAGATATAAGCACACACACACACACACACACACAAACACAGTCTTGTATTTTACTTGCTTACTGCCAGAAAACTTGTAAATGTGGGAGAGGTGAGATGCATTCAAAACAATCTTGGAAACATGACTCTATTGACTAACCATCTGTCCTTCGGTCGACATCCCCTGAGACACCCAAGTGCCGGAGAGATAGAAAATGATTACACTTATAGAGTCAAAGCGACGCAGTAAGCGGGTGAGGACGACGTAGGGAAAACGAATTATCAAGCTATCCGTGAAGGCATCCAACTATTCATTCGCTATCTAAATTGTACTACCACTGAGGAGATCTCATGGAGCGAAACAGCTGTCTCCAGGGTATGCAACATCTACACAAGAAAGAATCTCCAAGCTTCGGTGTTGTGTATGTGGACCCAGAGCACATTGTAGCGTGGTGGAGTGTTTCGAAAGAAATGTTGTACAGATGGTAAGCAAATGATGTCAGAATGGTGAACTGGTAAATTCACTGTCTTATGGGAGCATAGCGAACGGAGTAAGTCGGCGGGTTCTCTTCTGGCAGCTAAAGCCTAGTTCACATTGGACGGAGCGCGACGGGACGCGACGTAAGGATCGACGGGAAGCGACGGGATGGTCTGACGGCGTCCAATGTGAACACCAGGAACGGAACGCAACAGTACTACCGTACAGATCGGGAAGCGACGGGAAGAGTTGGATCGATCCAACTTTTCATACCGTAGACTGGCGTAGACGGGGACGCAAGCGTACACAACAGCTGCATTTTGAGTGTGAACAGGAGACGGCGTCGTGCGCCGACTACTCCCGATTCGTACTTGGAAATTTTTAGCATTTCGAACACTGCGCTTCCCATGATAACTCGCAGAATGGCTAACGCGACTTGAGTTGAACCTTAGCAAGATAAGGTCTGATGTCACGTATAGTATTTAGGGATAGTTCAGGAGCGTGACAGACGAGCAGTTTTATCATTTCCTGGAGCTATTATTTGAATGGCACACCTTTCGAAGCTACTTTTTTGGTGTTCATAAAAAAACTGTTATTGTGAACTTGATTCCGCTTCATTCAAAGAGAAATAGTTGAAAAGAAAACTCGAAAAACAAGAAATTAAGTCCAAAAATCACCCGGTTACGGACCGTGCCTTATGACTGTCGCCGTTCGCTGTTGAACGACGCAACGACTGCAGTATGTCGTGTCGTACGAATCCTACAAGATTTTACAGCTCAACCCAGCCTTCCCGACAGGCTTGCATCCGGTACCGTCAGCGTTGCGTCGAATGTGCTGTCGGTGTCGTCTGACCTAGAGCATAGGTGAGCCGGCTTTTGTAGAGCGTTTCTACTGATGATGATGGTATCGCATGCAGTAAACCCTGCAGTTGACCAGTACACACGTAAATGATGTGTACTCTCCTGGGTGACAATTCGGATGCAATCGAGTCATGTGGTGTAGCGAACCACTGTGTGTCGCAGATTGGAGGTTGCAAGTTTGACCAATGGTGTAAAGATATGCCGCAGGATCGCATAGCGCGAATCTCGAGTTGCAAGAAGTCTCTTTCTGCCTTCTTTATGCGTACACAATTCTATGAAACGCAAGTAGAGGATCTTTCTGAGTAGTATGCCCTGACGGATGGGATGTGTCCAGGGCACAGATGTTACCTGCAATGATACACTCGCGTCCGTCAAATCCTGCAAAGGTTTGATTTGAAACGGTGATACAGTTGTACTAGTGAAAACTTACTTAGCGAACCCTGGAAGTCTGGCAGTTACTACGAGTGCCAGTATAAAGTGGAGTTGTCGCTGACATAATAGTGAGTATGTTCTTACTCTACGTTGTCGTTGACTACCAGTAGTAATGAGTTTCTTCCTTTAAAACTGTACCCGAACGTGCAGTTGTAACACGCTCTTGAAGCGTCCAGGCTCAACCAAACAAGCAATTAACAGTCCCCGTGGAGATTTTCACACCTTACGCTGTCACAACTGAAGCCAGCAGGCAGAATTTGTTCACCCAGCTCGAGAATTGACGCCAGCCGGTGGTCGTGAGGGACCGGAAAAAGTTAGTTTTTCACGCAATTGATGATGTAAGCCAGCCTTGCAACTGCCACTCAGCCTGCTCCCTAGTCAGTCGGGGCGGGTCCCTCTACTAGCTGGTGCGGCCAGATGCTCACGGCTCCGGGATCCGTGGCTTTGTGTGTTTCATAAACTAGCTGTTCATTTGAGAGAGGTGAGGTACATGACTGTACATGTTCCAGTAGACAGAATGCGCTCTCACAATCATTTTGCCTGTTTCTCGTCACTTCCAGTGCGAGCTGAAGCCAGGTGATGATGCGTTGGTTTTCTTTACCTCCAGCCAAGGCTTCGAAAATGCTACAGGTATGACGGCTTGTGTGCCTGTGTATAGTTATACATATTAACGGCCAAGGGTATTTTGCTACTGTGTAAATATCTATCGATGTCATCTTAATTTGCTGCGTCCACTCATAGCCGTTACTTGTATAATAAATTAATAATGATAATATTATTATCCTTGTGACTAGCCGATACCACACGACCCTTGCAGACAGCAGTTTGTGTGTAGGTTAGTTGAGTACACCTACCTTGCGCCAGTATCTTCTTAATCTACAAGAACGCATTGCAAGTAAGGTAGAACAGAGTTTTATAGCAACCCAGGTCCGTTCCTTCTGCTCAGTAAGGTTCTCGTTAACGTACTATAGAACAAAGGAACTCAACGATTAGACTTGAGCAACAAGTTTTGTAAGGTATAGCTACTTGCTGTCGTGGAGGAACTGTTCATGGTGGTTGCGGCATCAAGCATCCTGTAGAGAAACATGGATTACTGTAATTGTTTTGTCGCTGATATTACTACTGTAATCCCCTCCATGGTGCGCTGGATAGCGCTAACGCCGAGACACTAGGTCGGCGTTGCTAGTCCCGCCTCACGGGCACAGGCTCCCTGAGAGCCCCTACTAGTACATTGCCTGTCTTTCTCCTTTCTTGTCTCGATCATTATTTTTCCGTGTCTTCATCTTCTCCTCTCTTTGTTATGGTCTATCAGTAGGTGCATTCTGTAAAAAAACAAAAAAAAACAAAAAACACTCTAGAATAGTATTGAGTAGAGAAGCAGCCAACAGTGACGAAATCACAGTATGAAAACGGACCACCGGGTTGACGAGCGGCAGAAGCAGTACTAGTACTAGTACATGAATATTCTAAAATTTTCTAGCTTTGTCCTTGCAGCCATGCCTAAAAGGGTACCCTGCTCGTGACATTACTCATTATCATTCAACTTGAACAGATCAGCATGTTTTACGGCACCCAGGTGGAAGTAAGTTCCAATGATGTTCACCAACAATTACATAGAGCCCTTTGCTAGAAGTAGTCTGGGGAAGGGGTTGGTTTCTTCAAATTCCCGCACACTGCGGCACCTCTTCCAGGTCTTAGGTGGACGATAATCACCAGAGGAATTTGCACAAATGCCAACAGTCGATGCGCTCTGTGTATAGTTCGACCTAATTTGAAGATAAGAGAGCGGATGATAGTGTTTGCCGCCCTTATTGCACCGGGCCCAAATAGTTCATTTGCACAAAAAGGCCTTGAGACTGTTCATGTCAGAAATCAATAACTATTAACGAAAGACTTCTCACTCACAGACGAGCTAGCCCTCTGTTCAGACAGTGCACCCCAAACATGAGCTGGCCAGTACGAAAAACCAAATAGAAGTGGTGTGGAGGAAAAGTCAGCGCTTCCATTACCTGAGCCCGGCTGCCCGCTAGGACGTAGCACGTTCAAATCAACTCTATGCGGACTGCAATGACCTGAAGTCAGCCAACGCAAGACGTCAGTTGATACCATTTGACGTTGAACAGCGAAAATATACTAAAGCAAATAGCGAAGACGAGGCCTGGAAAACGGATTGCGTGAAACTTATTACTTGAGAGTCGTTTGTTGCATTGCCATCTCTGTAAATGCAGTGCATCCAAAGGCAATAATTATTGTCGAACTTGCGCTTGAAACCCGGGGCACTGATCCTGGGCTGTGGCCAGAAAATCATTCATATCCTGCTCGTTCTTCTGATATTTTTTTCGTTCTTATGCAGGCATCAGAATGCATTGTTGTGCTGCTTGTGCTGAGTGTACTGGTGACGGTCGGCGTGGGTACACAGGACATTCTGTCTATCTGCCCTTTACACTGCACTTGCAATGTAAATGTGAGCAGCTCAGAGTATGGAACCGTGCGATGCTCAAGTGTTAGTCAGAACGTTACTGGCCATTTCCCCATTTACAGCGAACACTTGTAAGTAAACACAACCACACGTCAAGCATGCGGCAGTCCACAATAATAGAAGTGCTATGACAGTGAGCGGAGTCCTCCTGTTCGACAGAGTGCTCAATGTAGAAGGAGAGCAGTAACACACGAGTCACCTTTGTCTGAAGATTGCCATCTGGCATGAAAGTATTAGTTACGACAAGCCTGACGCGTGGTACTCTGTGACTCGTGAAATGCTATGACATTTAGAAAGGATAATATTAACGGTATAACTTTGTTGCGAGTTCTGGCCAACAAGGTGGGTTCACAAGATCTGGTTGTTTTGGACCGTACGCGTTGACCGTTTTTCATAACTCCTACCCTCATAATCACATCCTTCCACTCATCTATAGCAGGCTAGCCCGTCCGAAGCTGGCTGTGTGTTTTGCAGCTAGATCACTAAGGCTTTTTATTGTTTGTTTAAATAAATCTGCTTTGTTGTTCATCAGACACCTTGGATATTTGTGATAATTCCAAAGAAGTGTGTGTTCCGCTTGATGCCGCTTACCTTCCCCTCTTTGGAATTACCACTAATATCCATGAAACTTCCAAGTTGGAAGGACGTTGGTTGGGGCTATCAAGCAGTGCTCAAGCTCACTTCCTTGCCGTGGAACATCTCAGCACTCCCTGCCAGTCTAATGTTACCTTGTAGAGGCGGCGGTTCGATACCGGAACGGTTTGACAGCAAAATTGTGTAGACCCAAACCGATCATCTGCGTGGATTGCTCACTCGAAATATGTTTGTGGAAGGAAGCTGGCATGTTGAAGTTTGCTTTGAGGCCAGAGTCGATCGATCTGAGCCGCTCCTTTGTGTTGGCCCGTTGCCTCCAAGTTGCCTTCAATATTTGGTGTTTACAGAGGTGGATCCAAACCGGAAAGGTTTTGGAGTGCACGTCAAGTTTACTCCGAGTTCTGAAATTCGGTAATTGCTATGGCTCGGAGACTCCACGACGGCCAATACAGAGCACCAATAAGCCTTGTGTGTGCTTCCATTAGTTTTCATTGGTATACGGTGCTTTATTGGCGAGAGGCGGGCCGCTGTTTACCTGCGACAAGAAGCTGATTTTTTGAAAGACGTAAAACCCAAGTCGCAGTGGGAAGCAACACGTCAAAAACTGAAATGCTTGGTATGGCGCTCTGGTCATCGCAGAGCCATGGAATTTGGCGCTTAGTACAACATATCGTAGTCTAACCGTGACCACGTTTTCTAATCAAAATACCAAGAGAGAAAGTGAATATTGAGACCGTTCCGGTTTGCAAACTATTTCCTATTTGAAACCGTCCATTTAATATTGATGGTGGTATAATATTTCTAAATTTTGCTTTTATTACTGTTTCATGAAGAGCAATTCCATACAGAAGGTTAGAATCCGATGATAGCGTGTTTTGTATGTGTAATACCTCAGTGTATGCAACGAAGCCACACCCAAGCCAGACGAAGCTTATGTCAGTTAAGTGCCTGTATCAGACTGGAAGACTCTAAACTTCAAATTAACTCATTATTATTAGTACCGGTATTCATCATCACGTGGACATGTGCTACACTTTTTCTTCTATGTGGTGTGTTCTCCAGGCACTTGAGGAGCAACGGAATTTCAGCTCTCTATCCAGACATGTTCACCTACACATCCAATCTAATTTCGCTGTAAGTTCTTGATGTACTGTATTGCATTGCGAAGAGCTGCGCTTCGGTCCTCTGAGCTGTGCTGATGAGCTCTAACAGAGCGAAACAGTTGCTGTCCACAGACTTGTGTACTGCAGGCAATATTATTTCAGCTTCGCTGACTAGTATAGCTTACCAGCAAAAAGTGAGGGCGTTTTTTATTAGAGCTGTCAAATACATCGATGATGCTGACAAGTGCTATGCTTTTAGAACGTTTAGATTCTCAAAATGCTAGTTATGAGGACAAAAAACTATTTTACGTGAACAGAATTTTTTACATACAGAAAATCCCTCTATTGGATGAAGCGTGCTACTGTTTGTCACTCCATTGAAATATTAGGTATGAAAGGGATGTACTGAAAGTTCAGACAAATAAATAAAAGTTCCCCGAAAATTTCTAAAATTACGCTGCTGATCACAATCATGTAAAAAGTATGCCAAGTCAACTGCATACTATATCAAAAGTATGATTGGAAGCTTGGCTCGCAATCCCTTACCAAAACTCCTACAAATTATCAATAGGTATTGCACTGTCTTGTATGCTTGGTAGATCATCTTAGTGCTCCACTACATGATGTATTTATGAATTTGAAGAAATTAAATGCATTGCCCACAATGTTAGTGGCCAGTGCTCTGTATCTGAAATGGCCAAGCGGGACAGGTGGAAGCTGTTGGGACATAATATTACGCCAGCCAAGTGATTTCCCTGCAAATGTTGCTCTCACTGCTTTCTGTGCATATTTTGTTTCTTTTTTCTACAAAATCCACATATCTCCAGACACTGGGGTGAATAATGGAGTGTGGTGGTGGGGCCCATTAAGCTCCGCCGACCAGAGGTCTCGGCTTCATAGCTTTATGGACGCACCAAAGGGATAGTGGGTAGGGTGGATTAAATTGAAAAAGAAAACAGAAGAAAGAAAATGGAAAGATTGTATTGCTCAGTCAGCAAAAGAATAAGTTGAGTATTGATGTGAACGCTGTTAGACTTTTAAATTCAAGAGGAGACTGTCTGTGAGGAGAGATTACATGTATGTCCAAGCAGGGTAGGACACTGTACCCTCTTACTCGCGTATGCTATGAGTGGCCCAGTGCCAGTTCGTTCTGAGGAGATGGTGATAAGCTGCTGTCTTGAACTTTTGGATGTTCTTTGGGTGAAATGGGTGGGGAATGGTAGAGGAAGGCAGCTGGTTCCAAATTGGGATGACGGAGTGGGGAAAGGCTCGGCTCACATTGTTCCGGGAATTGGCAGGAAGAACATTCTGTAACTGATGGGGATGCGCGGTGGACAGTCGTACAGCCTGGCGGGTGAGGCGTGTGGTCCTGGGTTGGTGTGCCGGAGGTGGAGCCATTCTTGAGAGAAGAGAGGGAGAATTATCGCAAAGGGCTTTATACAGGAGGCAGGGGGCAGCGATGGTGCGGCGAATTTTGAGGCTAGGAAGCCAGCATTGCGGATGTATTGCCTTGATGGCTCGCTCCTGCACCCAGTCCAGCCGATTCAAGTGGGAAGGAGCTGCCCCCATCCAGACGATTGGGCAGTACTCCATAACCGGCCGGACAAAGGCTTTGTAGGCTCGAAGCCGGGCAGGAATAGCCAGCAAGTGAAATGCCTTGCGCAAGGCTCCAAGTCTCTGCGTTGCTCGGACTACAACAGTTCGGATATGCTGGCTGAATTTTAGCTGATGTACTATGCTACCAGTCAGCCCTTTCCAATAGGTGCACCCCACTCTCGCTTCACCACAAGTCTCCAGCGAGATGTCCGCCTTACACCTATCTGCATTTTTAAGCCCAGCTGCCTTCGTGATCTCGACAGTTATGCCCGCGGCAGAAAACAATGGAGTAACATCTGCTCAGCCATTTAGTCTAGTGCTGCTCTTCTTAAATTTGACTTTTATTACAAGACTCCCATTCGAGATGGATCAAAAATACCCAGCGCAAATAGTTGACCCTTACATACCTTCTGTATGGAATTGCTCTTCATGAAACAGTAATAAAAGCAAAATTTAGAAATATTATACCACCATCATTTGTATTTTTTGGGCAGAGATTTGGACTACAACATGATAAGTGACTTGTCCGTCAACATCTTCGATGGTCTGAAGAGGCTGGAAAAATTGTAAGTAAGGATGATGTTTATTAAACCCTCTTACACGGGCAATTGTAGCATGGCTACTTTATGACACGTAATTTGTATACACATAAATAGTACACCGTAGGAATGCATGGATAGGCTGTGCGCATACTCGCACTGCCTTGTCTTCTTCTTCTCCTTGTGAGACAATGAACGAATGATAACTACTTACGTAACAACAAGTATGTGCTTTGAGTGCTGAGAGTATACGAGTTACACAATCACAGAACTTGATTTCACTGGCCTGACGCAACAACTAAAGAACAGGAAAAAGAAAACAAACCAAGCAAATTGAAATAAAAAGACAGTGAAACTTTACAATCTGCGCACAGTGACAACTCCATTTAAGAAGGCGGGATTCGGCAACAGAAAAAGAAAGAAAGTAAGGATGATGCTTTGCAGGAATACAGTCATGTACTTCAGTTTTAAGCCCCTAGATCGCAAAACGGGGCTTACATGTACATTGTACAGTATGATGTCATTTTCGAGCATTCTGAGTCATCTGTACGATGCCATTTCTGCAGCAGATAACAGTTACTGTGCACAGTACTGCCACTAGTACACAGTGTTATCATATTGTGGTGGTGGTTGAACAAAGGTATTTACATCTCTTTACCGTAGTTCCGCGCGTATAAGCCCACGGGCCTATATCCGGATATAAGCCCACCTTCCGTTTACAGGCCCATGGGCTAATAAACAGACCCAAACACCGTTACGGACCCGGTTGTCAAGTATATTTTTCACAATACCGGCACGAGCTGTTCTTGTTGATGAGCCAGAAAACAAGAAAGTGGAGGGTTAAAAAACCCCGATAGTACAGCATGTCAGTGCAGACTACATTACCAGTACCGGTACCTACGGTAGGCAGACAACCGCGCACGGACTTTTTTTTTTTTTTTTTTTTTTTTGATTTTTTTTACTTCGCAAGGCCAAACGGGCAATGGTGCCCAATTCTATGGAAGCGAATTTCAAAAGGGAGAGAGCTACGGGGAGAGAGAGAGAGAGAGAGAGAGAGAGAGGGGGGGGAGGGAGGGAGGGAGATGATAAGCAATTTTGCAGCGTCAACAGAGCGATTTTGCAGTGTCAATAGAGCGATTTTGAAGCGTCAACAGAGGGAACACAAAGAGTTCATAAGCGCACAAGCACGCAGAGAAGAGTAAATGACGTGGTGTGTGGACGGGAAAAGTCAGACAGAGCATTCATTGCAAGGTGTAGGGGATGGAGGCAAGCTTAAATTGCTGGGCAGCCTTGATCTCCCTTACACTCCTTGGGAGAGCGTTCCAGGCCAAGGCTGCCTGAAAGGCCAGGCGAGATCTGCCGGCTTCTGACTGTGCCGAGGGGACAGTGAGGCCCCTGGAAACCTGGTGCCGGGTGGTGCTGCCAGCTGATGGTGAGAATAGGTCCTGGAGGACACTGCTGGTTTTCCCATTGACACAGCGCCACACCAGGACGAGCCGCTTCTGGGCGTAGCACTCGCGAACTCTGTACAGGGACATCCGTTCGAGCAGAGGCTGAGCCGAGGTGTGAGGCGGCAAACCGTATACCGCTCTCGCCGCTCGGTTCTGCAGGACCTGAAGGCGATCAAGCTGCGAAACCTTGAGGGAGGAAGAGAAGGCGTTAGACCCATATAGGAGGTCAGGCATGATGACTGACCTCACATACTGGATACGACTACTGAGGCTCAGACATCTGCGGGACCGCCACAATGCTCCAATCTTCTTCACAACTTTCTTCGCCATCGCGTCAACATGGGGGTCCCACTTCACAGCGGCGTCAAGGGTCACGCCGAGGTACCTTGCTGTTGGGCTCAGGGGAAGCTCTGTCTGGTTGCAGCGGACAGCGATATGCTGACCCGCATTGCGTTGTGGTACAATTGACAGGACCTGGCTCTTCTTGTCATTTAGAAGCAGATGTCGATGCTTGAGCCAGTCAGCGACGTTGGTGACAGCCCCTGATAGGCAGGCTGATGTGGCTAGCACTGATTTTCTGTGGCAGTGCACGGCAATGTCATCGGCAAATTGCAGAGATGGAGCAGGATGGGCTATGGCAGGGACATCACGGGTGTACATGCTAAACAGGATCGGTCCTAGGACCGAGCCCTGAGGTACACCAGATGAGCACTTAGCAGCAACACTGTAGGTGGGGCCAATGCGCACTTGCTGGGTTCGATCGCTTAAGTAGCTGCAGAACCAGCGAAGGGAGGCATTGTCCAGGCCGAGATCGAATGGGTCCCGGACCAGTTGGCTGTGATTGACCTTGTCAAAGGCTTTTGACATGTCGATTAGGCAGACGCCTGTGGTCAACTTGTCGTCCCGGGCCTTTAAGATGGCATCTGTTGCTACAACTAGGGCGTCCTCTGTGGAGTGCTCACGGCGGAAGGCAAACTGAGTCGGTGGTATGGCACATGATCGCTCCCGATGTGCAACAAGTTGCTTCTGGACTATCTTCGCGAGTAGTTTGGATACGATCGGCAGGAGCGACACAGGACGATAATTTGCAGCTACCGATGGATCGCCAGCTTTGAAGAGAGGGCTTATTACAGCATGTTTGAAAGCCAGAGGGACTTCACCATGCCTCAGCGATGAGCTGAAGAGCACTGAAAGCGATGGAGCCAACAGGTCAGCGCAAGCACGTAGCAGACACCCAGGAATCCCATCACTGCCTGTGGCTTTGCAGGGATTTATCCGTTCCAGGAGGTGCTTGACCTCATCTGGGGTGGTTGACTGGAAGGTCAGCATTGAGCCTTGCGGCTGTGGACCAATGGGAATCTGGAGCTGCAACGGACGGGACGTGTAACAGTTCCCTGTTAGCGCTAACCTTATCTGCCCTCTAGCTCTGTATCTTGCACCTTTCCCTATCCTGTCAGCACGCGCGTTATCACCTTAGGGCACGAAGTGCCCTATATCAGTTGTGTTGCCTTGAGCAAGCATTGTCTTTTCCAAGAATACCTTCAAACGGTTACACTGGTAGCGGAGGATTGTTAACATGGTGTTCTTGGAGCTCGCCATTGTCGTGGCGATCCTTGTTTTTTCTGTGTTGCTATTCAGGTTGGCCAGCGAGGTCCGTGAAGCCAGTCGCCAAGTCAGCGCCCGTCTGAGCAACCGACAACAACCGCTCCCTGTGCCGCCCGCTCATTCGTCCGGGAAGCCTCGGCACGCTAAGGAGCCGCCGATCTTCGATGGCAAGCCCTCGCAGTTCAAGGAGTGGGCTTTCTCCATTGAGCTGGCGATTCGGTCACTGGGAATCACCGACTCATCGGTGATGGTGGATTACGCAGCGGGCTTCCTGAGCGGCAACGCCAAGCTATGGCTCATCGCATCGTTGGATACGGGTGTGGAGTTCTCGACGTGGCCAGCGCTGCGTGAAGCCCTCGCCAAGGTGTACGGTCCGTTGCATCATCAAGAGCGGGTGCGACTGGATCTCTTCGCTGTCAGGCAGCACTCAAGCTTGGAGAGCTATGTCACCGAGTTCTCGCGCCTAAGCCTACAAGTGCCTGAGATCGACGAGCTGACCCGAGGACTGCTGTTCGTAAATGGACTGCACCCATCTGTCAAGACCCGGGTGCTGCGAGAGCACCCCACTGATCTGAGCCAAGCGATCAGGTCAGCGCAAACGGCGGACCAACAGCCGAACCCGATTCAGCACCGAAGTCAGCCCGTACGACCCCAAAGGCTAACACCGGAGGAGAGGCGTCACCTGAGTCGGCAGGGTGGATGCTTCGCTTGTCGGAAGCCAGGTCACCTAGCTCGGGATTGTCCCAGCAATCAACACCCAAACGCTGGTCGCCAGTGAAAAATGGCGTGCGCTCGCTGGCGACCAAGCGGAAAGCACCCAACGGTTACCCGGTTGACATACGCAACCGTTACAGCGTACTAGAGCTGGAAGAACCGACGCTGCAAGCTGATTCGGAAGATGTTGCCGAACAGGAATCCCATGTCAGCAACGTTGATATCGCAGTACAGGACACGGAGCTTCCTTTGGAGCATGACCTTCTCCGTGTTGAGGGCAGGATCAACGGCCGCCGGGCAATTATGCTTATTGACTCGGGATCGACGCACGACTTCATATCGGAAGCTTTCGTGCAAAGAAACGGCCTTGTTACGGAGAGCAAGGACGAAACACTGAAGGTAACCCTGGCTGATGGCTCATCGACATCATCGGAACTGCAGAGGACCGGTCCGGTAAAGGTTATCGTGAAAGACTTCAGCGACACCCAATCTTTCACAGTTTTTCCGTTGAGCCGCTATGATGCTATCCTGGGCAAGCCATGGCTGACCAGACACAACCCGGATATCAACTTTCAGACCAACGAAGTCAAACTGAACGGAGAGCCGCTCGTTGCTAAACCCCCTTCCGGCCAAAATAGTGATACGGAGCGTCACGAGTCGCCGCCAATTGAGAGCATGCTCATATCTGGTTCTCAGGCTCGCCGCGAGTTGAGGAAAGGCGCGCAGGGAATCCTGGCGTGGGTCAACGCTACTGACGACGAGGAGGAGGACAGCAAGCCATCAGCCGCCAGACAACACCCAGATCATCAAGAGCAGCTGGCTAACCTTCTGCGGCGGTACTCGGACATCTTTCCAGACGACCTGCCGACCGTGCTTCCGCCAGAGAGGGATGTCGACCATGAGATTGTGACTGAGGAGGGTGCCGTTCCTCCATCACGGGCTGCCTACCGTCTCCCCAAACCCGAGATGGACGAATTGCAAGCCCAGCTCACGGAACTCCTCCGCAAGGGCTTCATCGAACCCAGCAAGTCACCATACGGTGCCCCAGTCTTTTTCGTTAAAAAGTCTGATGGCTCATTGCGCATGGTTTGTGATTGGCGGAATTTGAACAGGATCACCATCAAAAACAAAGCTTGCCTCCCAAACATTGATGACCTGTTTGATACCATTCAAGGTAGCTCATACTTCAGTAAGCTGGATTTACGCTCGGGATATAATCAGCTTAGGATCCGTCAGGAAGATGTACCTAAGACGGCT